TACCCACGACATAAGTGGCCACAATTCTGAGAACTGGCCTCAAAGAAATGGGAAGAGACAGACCCTGGAACTGAAGATCAACTGTACCTAAAATAACTGCAAGATGATGTTGGTCAGATCATCAATGACCAATTTGAAGAAGACTATCAGAGCTGACTGTGCTATTTCTGCATGTAACCCCCTCCAAAATGTCTATAAAAGCTTCTGTCCCACTGGTTGCAGTGATGGGGGTGGGGGGGGGGTGGTGACACAGGGAGGCAGTTGGCCTTTGGACAGAATCTGCCCTCCCTCGCAGTTGCCAGCATCTGAAATAAAGCAAATTTTCCTTTCCACCAACTTGGCCTGTTTATTGGCTTTAGAGCAGCAAGCAGCCCAACCTCACTCACTTTCGCTAACAATTCTAGTGATTAATTTCACTGTTTTCAACATCCTCTGATAACTCAAAGGATTAACACAAGGTCCAGTAAAACTGTTTACCAGAGAAACTGGAAAATCAGAAGTAAAAAGGACATATTTATCATTAATGAGATGCCATCACTGACAGAAATATCAAGGACATCCAATTCTATCAATAACACTTCGGCCATTCCCTAGTAGATGAATCAACAGAGATCCAGGAATTACCTTCTTTAAAGAGTCCCATCTTCAGCAGATTGACTTCCAGCTCCACCTGACACATTTGGAAGGCCGAGTCTTCTTGACCTCATTAATCCCCCAAGAACAGCAGGAATCAATTTAGAAATAACAGGACTAGTGAGTTTAACAGACGAGTTTCCAGGAACTGTGAAACATGGCCCTCAGAAAAAGACGCAGTGTACAGTACTTCAGCAAAATGACAGCTAGGAATTACGACCCCTGCACTCAGCAGCCTCAGCCAAGAAATGTCCATTTTAACAACAATCTGCAAATGAATAATAACCCTCCCAAGAGTTTAGCATTCCAGGTAAGGGATGACCAGCACCTTGGTGAAGCATAGTGATAAGAAAGGACGCCCTGAGGAGAGTAAGAAAGACAAATTTATGGTAGCCCCATACTCTTCTCCCAAGCCCATGCAGCTCATGGGAGAAGCAGAGTAAAGTGAGCAATGGAATCCACTAAGGACTCCAGAGCTGGCTCGCCCCAGCATCTGATCGACTTACGTGTTTCCCCGCTGGTGCCAGGAACTCAAACCCTTCCAACTTTATGCCAGCGCTGGCCAACTCTAGCCCAAGCAGCTCCTGCAACCTCAAAGGCGTACCCTTGTCACCAGTTTGCCAGGGTCCCCATGAACAAAAAACCCGGTTCACTCACCACCTCCCTACTCCTGGTCCTCCCCCTGACCCACCACCGGTCACCTACCTCCTCCAGTGGCCCGAGGAGTCCTCAGCACCAAGTTCCCAGAAGCCTCCAAAACCGGAAACCCACTCACCGGGAAGTCAGCCTTCTCCAGCGACCCAGTCCCCGCCCATGGCTGCGCCCCCTACAGGTTCCTGGGAATACAGGTCCCTGTTGCACCCAGGCTCCAGGCACCTGGAAAGCTGCACTGAATTCAGGCCCCAGGTTCACCCAGCCACCTGCTGGCTCCAGTTCCCCATCCCTCCTCCCACAGCTCTCAAGGTCCAGGCAGCCTCCTCAGCTTGTAGAGGGCTGTGTGAACTCAGGTTTCTGACCCACTCTGATGGCTGTGGTCACTGGTGGCTTCTTGGCTCCAGGAAGCTCCCATGAACTCAAGTTTTCAATCCAGTCCAGGAACTTCAGGCTCCCCAAATCTCAGACAGCTCCAGCAACTCCAGGCTTTGGGCCCACCCTGTGGCTCTCCCGTGGGAACAGACCCCTAGAGGACCCCTATAAACCCACATCCTAGCTTGACTCAGCACTGCCTAGCTCATGTGACACTGGTCAGCTCCCAATGGGTTCCAGCAAATTCAGGCTCCTGGCATTTCCCATGGTTCTGAGGTCTCAGGCTCCAAGACACGAGGGAACCCAAGTCAGGTGGGTAGGGGGTAGGACCTGAGGAACACAAAATTAAAATCCACAAAATGAAAAGGCAATCTGTGTAATGGGAGAAAATATTTGCAGACCATATGTCAGATAAGGGGTTAATTTCCAAAATATGTAAAAATCAACAAACCTAATAACAACAACAAATAATGAAACAACTTGATTAACAAATGTGCAGAGGAACTGAATAGACAGCTTTCCAAAGATACCAATGGCCAACAGGTACATGAAAAGGTGCTCAACATCACTAATCATCAGAGAAATGCAAATCAAAGCCACAATTAGATTATCACCTGACACCTGTCAGTATGGCTATCAATAAAAATACGAGAGATAACAAGCATTGGTAAGGATGTAAAAGAAAGGGTAAACTTGGGCTCTGTTGGTGGGAATGTAAATTGGAGCAGCCACTATGGAAAACAGGATGGAAATTCCTCAAAAAATTAAAAATAAAACTACCATGTATGTGCGTGCTTAGTTGCTCAGTTGTGTTCGACTCTTGGCTACACCATGGATTATAGCCTGCCAGGCTCCTCCATCCATGAGATTCTCCAGGCAAGAAAACTGGCCTGGGCAGCCATTCCCTTCATCAGGACTTCTTCCCAACCCAGGGTTCGAATCCAGGTCTCCTTCATTGCAGGCAGATTTTTTACCAACTGAGCCACCAGGGAAGCCCCAGACTACCACATGAGCCAGCAGTCTCTCTTCTGGGTTTAAACCCAAAAGAAATGAAGAGATAGCTGAATCACCTTGTCATTGCAGCATTAGTCACAATATTCAAGATTTGGAAACAATGTATTATATGTGAATACATTGAATATACATATATTTGAATGTTATTCAGCTATAAAAAAAGAAAATTCTGTTATTTGCTATTTGATATAACATGGATGGATTTTGAAGGCATTACACTTAAGTGAAATGAGTCAGACACAGAAAAAAAAAACATTTTGACATTATTTATGTGTGAATCCTAAAAAATGTTGAACTGGAAGAAACAGAATAGAATGGCAGTTTCCAGGAACTGGGAGGTTCGGGAAATAAAGAGATACGTATCAAAGGACACGAACTTCTAGTTATTAAGATGAATCTGTTCTGGAGATCAAATGAATAGCATGGTAAGCATAGGTAACAATGCTATATTGTATATTTGAACGTTGCTAAGAATGTAGATCATAAATGTTTTCATCACAAAAATCAAATGGTAATTGTATTAAGTAATGAATGTATTGATGATCCCTATGGTGATAGTTTTTTTACAATATATAAATGTATTGAGTCACCATGTCATATACCTACAAAATAGTACATATCAATTATATTTCAAAAAGATGGAAATTTTTTTAAATAAAGAAATACACGAATTCCTTAAATAACATGCAATACCAAGGTTTTTTCCACAAATAGACAACTGAAAGAGTCCTATACCTACTAAATGAATTTTCTTTTCTAAGAAAATTAGTTATCTAGAAAACTTTATTAGAAAGTTTTACCTAACCTATAACAAAGAAATAGTATCAATTCAAAACAAAATCATGCAGAATACTGAAATGGGAGGAATGTTTTCCCTATCTTTCTGTGAAGCCAGTTAGATTATAATCTAACCACACAAACATTACAAGAAAAGAAAACTACATGCTGATATGCTTTATGATCATTGATTACAAAATTTAAACAAAATTTTGAAAAACTGAAGTTAAGAATATATAAAGTGACACAGTGAAGTTTGTAAATACAAATTGTATTTAACATTTGAAAATCAGTTATTCAGCATAGTAACAAACATCAAACTAACCCCCAAAAATGTATGATTATCTCAGAAGATGAAAAAAAAAGACAAAATTCAAAAGCTATTCTTGATGTTAATGAGAAAAAGCAGAAAACTAGTAGAAGGGAATTTCCTCAACCTGAGAAACAGCTACAAAAAATCTACAACTTTATATATAATAGTAAAATTCAAAATGTTCCCTCAAAATATTAAAAAGGAAAAATGATAACAGATGTTCAGCTCTACTTTTTATTCAACATAGAAAATACAATAAAATGTACAAAAAAACCCACCAAATGATGACTGAACATCTGGATAGTCATATACAAAAAGTGAACTTCAATTCACACTCCATACCATATGTAAAATTCACATGAAAGGTTCTTAGATCTAGATGTAAGACAGCAAACTAGTTTGATAAGGAAAAATCTTTATCATACTTAAGAAAAAATGTCTTAGCTATGACATCAAAAGCATGATACAGGAAAGTAAATTGATTTATTGGACTTCATTAAAATAAAAAGTTCTTTATAAAAGTTTGATAGTTTCTTAAAAACCAAACCATAGACCCATTATATAATTCAACCATCTAATTCCCAGTTAATTACTCAAGGAAAAAATATAAATGTCATACACAGCTATGTACAAGAATGTTATAGCACCTTGGTTTATAATAGCCACAAACTGGAAACAACTCAAATAGGGTTAAGACCACTTTGGTAGGTGATTGGATAAGCATGCTATGGTATATTCATTAAAGAATGGGATAGTATTCTGTGATTTAAAAAAGAATTTCCTATCCATACATGTAACAACATATATGAATCTCAAAAATAATGCCTGTAAATGAAGTCAGACTAAAAAGAATATATTCTAATCTACAATGACAAAGAGCAGAGCAGTGATTGTTTGATGGTATCTTTCCATCCTCCTTTTATACCATTTTTTAAAACTAGCTACATATATACTGCTGCTTTTTGATAAATGGTTATTTGTATGAACAATTTTCAGTAAATTATTTTTATTCTTCCTGAAGTGTTCATGAAGATTGAGCCAAAGGACCCTTCTAATTGGGGATGTAGGGATGGATAGAGAGCAGAGGTATTCTTTCGAGGTGAGGATGCTTCATGGAAGTAACCTTTGCCATTCTCCTTCAACTGAGTACAATCCCAAAGATATGTGTCTTTTCAGACTATTGTTTGAACTCATTTCTTTTCCCAGAGCCTCACTGCCAGTTCACTGAAAAGACAAAATGGCTTACTTTCAAATGATAAGGTCTATTTCATTCTTCATATTGGCATCTTCCATTTTCTCTGGTGAGTAATTTTTCTCTTAGTGAGAAACTTTTAATCATTCAGTATTTGTCAAAACTTGGGCCAACTATGGATAGAGACCTCAATGATGAGACTAGTGATAAATTGTTTTTTATGCCAATGCTCAATGGATGATGTAAGGAGGTGTTTTTAAAGCATACTAAGATTGGTATATACTAAAGACTAAGATTGGTCTTCCGTGGTGGCTCAGGCGGTAAACAGTCTGCCTGCAATGCAGGAGATCCGGGTTTGATCCCTAGGTCAGGAATACCCCCACAGAAGGGATTGGCTATCCACTCCAGTATTCTTGCCTGGAGAATTCCATGGACAGAGGAGCCTGGCAGGCTAGATGAGATATAATGAATTTGTTTGTAGATCCTAATCTTTGAATACTGAATGCTTTCGTGTAAGGTCAGGCTCTTACTATATTTCAGAGTTCTCATCTACAAAGTGGGGATACTACCTATTTTTGACAGAGTTACTGTTTGCTGGAGTTATATAAACTACTATGGAAGAGTATGTGCAATGTAGTCAGATTCAAAGCAGACATAAATGAATGCATATTGACTGAGATTTAATTTTTGGATTTTTCTTGTATACTAGTATCTAGTCTCAGAAACAGAAAGACATCATCACAAATATATTTTGAGTTTTTTTAAACAAAAAATAATATTCTTTATTCTGTTTTTAGATAATAACATGTCAAAGAACATCAAACAGTGACATATTATTAATCTATGCTCTGGTTGCAGGTATTCTCTTTGGAATTTCAACAAGTTTTGAAATACATCTGGTAAGCTATCATTTGGATGTTTAAATTATAACTTAGTGTTTCTTATACCATCAGAATATATTATTGTATATACTATTTTCCTCAGCAGCACAGTTCCATATTTTTTTTATTAGTTGCTAATTAGAGGCTAATTACTTCACAACATTGCAGTGGGTTTTGTTACATTGACATGAATCAGCCATGGAGTTACATGTATTCCCCATCCCGATCCCCCCTCCCACCTCCCTCTCCACCCGATTCCTCTGGGTCTTCCCAGTGCACCAGGCCTGGGCACTTGTCTCATGCATCCCAGTTGGGCTGGTGATCTGTTTCACTATAGATAATATACATGCTGTTCTCTTGAAACATCCCACCCTCGCCAGGAGATAGCAAGACTAGATACAACTGGGTTGTTTAAGGAAGTATATGATAGTACTGTGGATGTGTTGTGGAAATAAGGAGCAAGTGAACTACATGTAACAGTGAAAGAGTAGTACAGATATTGTCTAAAACAGAGAGATCTCTGGGGCTGGAACACAAAGACAGAGATCAAGGTGTAAGATGACTTAGGTAATTGATGGAAGCCATCAATATTTAGTCTCATAGGCAATTAAGGATTTGAATGTTGATCCTAAGAAAAGTGGGCATTGTTTTTAGCAAAGATACAAGGATTCAATACAAATATTTGGGAACCTTAAAAGTGGCTGTAGTCAACCACTCAGACAGACAGACACTACAATTGACCTGCAGGAGGTGATGGTAGCTCAGAATAGGAGAGTGGAAAAGAAAATAGATATGAATAGAATGTACCATCTAACTATTTTCACGTATTCAAAACCATCACAGAGTTTGTTTCATGTGCCAAGAAATATTCTAATATTACAATTACAGTATTTAAATTAGAATTCAAGTTGAATATTCAAATATTAAATCAAGAAAGAACTAAGTTTTCGACATCAGTAAGCTCACAGTGTGTGGAAGATGCTATTTATATTGTTATTGTAACTAGTATTAATATCTATCTTTTATAGCCTGACTGTGACAAGTCTGAAGATATGATGGGCTGCACCAATGAATACTTTCCCGGCTGTGCATCAGATGGCAACACATATAGCAATGCATGTGCCTTCTGCAATGAAGTTAGGTAAGAAACAAAATTTGTATGTTTATCTTCATACTAATGCTTATCTGCAATATTAATGCCTCTTTTAAGAACTCGAGGATAGACACTTGCCTGGTAGTTCAGTGATGAAGAGTTCGCTGCCAGTGCAGGGGATACAGGTTCTATCCCTGGTCCAGGAGGCTCCCACATGCTGCAGAGCAACTGGGCCTGTGTGCCACAACTACTGAGTATTAGCTCAGAGTCCATGCTCCGCAACAAGGGAAGCCATGAAATAAGAAGCTGGTTCCCTGCAAATAGAGTAGCCCCCACTCTCCACCACTAGAGAGAAGCCCACGCAGCAACAAAGACTCAGCTCAGCCAAAAATAAGTAAATAAATAAAAGTATAAAAGAACTCTAAGATAATCAGTACTGGCATTAATTCAAATACACTAAGGATAAAAGTATAAAAGAACTCTAGGATAATCAGTACTGGCATTAATTCAAACACACTAAGGCACAATTGCTATACCTTTGAATTTACCATTTCTGAAGAATTTTGTTGTGGGATTATCTTTATAATTACTCTCATTTGCAGTGCAACACCCACATTAATTAAATGAATGAAATATAATTAAACAATTAAAATGTTAACAACAGTAGAAACAGATGAATTACTTCACCTAAAACAATTTTTTAACTTTTACTTTAATGACATTGAGATAATATATTCATTATAAAGATATATTTTCATTATCTGCATGGCACAAATTTTTTAACTTTTCCCTACACTTTTTACATTCATTTATAATTATAAACCATGCAAGAACAATGAAGTGACCTGACATAGAATGAAACAGTTATAAAGAAGGGACTGTATCTTAAATATTGTTCTTTGAACTAAATTTTCAAAATTCTGTTATTCACTTAACTTTTAATTAGGCTAGATTTTCATGCACTTACTTGATCACAATGTAAGCGTCTGCCTGCAATGCGGGAAACCTGGGTTCGATCCCTGGGTTGGGAAGATTCCCTGGAGATGGAAATGGCAACCCACTCCAGTACTCTTGCCTGGAGAATCCCATGGATGGAGGAGCCTGGTGGGCTACAGTCCACGGGGTTGCAACGAGTCGGAAATGACTAAGCGACTTCACTTTACTTAAAGAGAGAAGCTACTAAACAATCAAGCAATAGAAAACAATAGAAGAAGCAATAGAAGAAAACACAAATTTTCCTTCCTATGAAGACAGACCAAAATAGTGTGGCTTTCAGAGGTTGGGTCAATATGCTCCTGCTGCTCAGGTTCGGAGAGATGGGTAAGAAGGAAGATAATACTAGAGAGAAGCCTCAGGGAAGTTAAGTTCAGCAGGAGGATTATCACAACTGGAGAAGCATCAGTAGACAAACAGTCGGCCTAGCAAGCACTGTGTCCATCCTCCTTTTCCATAGATGGGAGAAGAGGCAAGAGGGACATCTACATAGGGAATTGAGGGTCAGAAAATATTCAAAACCTGGTTAGATGATCAGCCAGCCTCTGAGATATGCCTCAATAGGATCTGCCCCAAGGTGCAGTTTTCCAGTGCAAATTGGAATTAACAAAGGCATTGGAATCTGCACAGAGAGCCAGGCCAGCCCATAAGAGAAAACTCATTCTCTGCAGAAATTAAACAGGCAATGATGTCAATTTATTCTGAAGCAGAGAAGGCTGATTCTCATTCTTAAAACACTCTTTGCAGGTCAAAACATACTTTTATAGAGCAAGTAAGTGTGTCTGACTGGCATGGAGAAGACAAAAGGATGGCTAGAGTCTGGCTGTGGTCACTAGACAGCTCCTGGCCCTTCAGAAAAGATTCTACCAGTGCTGAGTCCTTTAGTCAAAAACCCTAACTCAGGGGAAACACAGTGAGTCTCATACAGAATTTATAATGCAATTATGTTTTCTTTTTCGTTTCAGGAAACGTGGTGGTCAACTTAAATTTATTAGTTATTTTCCATGCTGATTCCTTGATGTAACTTTCTATATTAAATGATTCCTCTTATTCTGTTTTACTGAAGGGTATTTCCATGGTTTTTACAAAGGGGAAGGAAACTCAGGACGCATTCTATATGATTGATCTATACATTCTTTTCATAATAAAGTTTGAAAATTCTTGAATTCAACATTTCTGACTCTATATGATTTTAATGAATTTCCTGTTTTAGAAAACATAAGGCATACATAATTTCCTATGAAAATCATGATTGCCTAAATAAAAAAGATTAACCATGCAAAAAATATGATGTCTCTTGTGGGTTCTTGTTCTCTGTCACTCTCATATTCCTAAGTGGTTGAAAGAACACAGTGGATACTTAAAAGATTTATTCACAATTAAATGAGAAACAATCCTGTGTAAAGCTCTTTTGAGAAAGTTGGTTTTAGAAAATCACTTATATTTCTAGGAACATAACAGTTGTTCAGAAAGTTATATAATTTAGTTTGTAGTATCAATCTACTCCTGTGGACTATTTAAGTTCCATCTTATTCCAAATCATTGAAATAAATGCCATGAGTCACTATCTCAATCTACTGTAGCCTTGCCTTTGCTGTTCTATTCTGTATGCTTGCTTTAAAAAGGATTGATAGAAAAAAATAGTTTGAAACACTCTTAAAGTTTTGTGTGGGTGTGGGTATGTGTGTGTGTGTTCTTCTTTAACCAAGGAAGGGAATTTGATACTAATAGAGATGTTCTCTTATCAAAACTGTGGTAAGGCTTCACAGACTTACTTGCTTTAGTCCTCACAGATACATGGTGAAAGTGTGGTGGAATTTGCTCAGCTGTGTCTGACTCTTTGAGAACCCATGGACTATAGCCTGTCAGGCTTCTCTGTCCATGGAATTCTCCAGGCAAGAATATTAGAATAGGTTGCCATTCCCTTCTCCAAAGATAGGTGTAATTAATTATCTAAAATTATATATTATTGAAGTTCTGTCTTAAATCATGAAAGGAAAGCCCATGAACCATCTTATTTAAACCTTACCTTTGTTGCCTTATATATTTTGCTTTCAGGTTGGGGCAGTATAAAAAAGGATTGTTGACATTTCATTAAAGATTTTTTTTTTAAGAGAAGATGAGAAATTCTCATTTATTTTGTATCTGAAGTATGTTAAGGCTCTGCACATTTCTTAGCCTTCATGGAAAAGTGAGTTAGCTGTAACGAAGTCCATTTTTTGACAATAAGGAACTAAGATGTATGATTTTAAATATACTAAAATATGCTATTATGGTAATAAAGATAAATTTTACTAAACTGCATTGCTCTTTTATTAAGTTAAGAAGACAAGAGGTTGCCCCAAATGAGTTTCTGTGATGATGAGTTGAATACCTTTGCCTAAATAGGGAAATATGAATCAGTGTACATATAACTTCAATGTCCAGTTGGATAGAAGAATCAGAAATAGCCCTGCAGGGTCTCATGAATAAGTAGTTCTATTGAAATCATTTTGAATTTTCATTATTTGGATAAATGCAGCAATGATTTCTTCCTCTTTATAGCCATAGTCATAGCAAGGTTCATTTATATCTGTCCTATCTTAATCTGGCAAGGGATTTTTTTCTTCAGAACTCTGACAGTTCCATACATACCAGAAGCATAATCACCAAACCTGCCTTTAGATGTCACACATACTGACTCTAACTTTTCAGGAAGTGTTCTCACCTTCCTTCCTTAGGCCAATAGATGGCCTTCATGGCCTTATTGGCTTCCTGAGTTTGATCCTTCTTTGTTGTACCTTTTAGGGAGTAATATAGCAAAAATTTTTACTGTATGAAAGAGTTACAGAGAGAAAAGAAAAGTTATAGATATTTAGTCTATTACTTTTCCTGTCTTATATGGTAGAAATACTATAGAGATGATCTGAGTATGTGCGTACGGGGATGGCAAGTGAAAGACTGAAGCTTCCTTAGTACAAATTCATTGTACATTTAATTAACACTGATCATGTTGTGTGGTTTCTAAAGTTGGATGCCTGGAGATGTTCCAAAATGAATTTTTATGTTCTTTTTATTTTCTGTTTTTGGTTATGTTCTATATTGATCAAAAGACATTCCTGTCAACGTATGTAAGAATATGAAAAAGAATAAATATATATGTATAACTGAGTCACTTTCTGTACAGTAGAAATATAACACTGTAAATCAACTATAATTTTTAAAAATATATTATAGTAATGACATATAATTAAAATAAATATATTTATAAAACATTTTACTTATGAGGGTATAATATCAAAAATGCTTGCAGACAACTAATCCCTGCTTTAATCCAATGTCTTATTGTGTAAGCATGGTTAAATGAAATCCATAGAGAAGAACTTGCCTGAATGATAAATATGACAGAATAAGATCTAGAGATCAAACATCCTAATATTCAGGATTATCAGTTTTCTACCTTTCTCTTACTTCAAATGTTTTTTTTTTTTTGTATATTTATATCTGGTATAAAGCCTAAATAAGGATACTCTATTGGACTTCCCTGGTGGTACAGTGAACAAGAATCCACCTGCCTATGCAGGAGACACAGGTTCAGTCCCTGGTCCAGGAAGATTCCACAAAGCCCACACACCACAGCTACTGAGCCCTTGTGCCACAGCTACTGAAGACTGTGCTCCGCAAGAAAAGAAGCCACTGCAATGAGAAGCCCATGCACCACAACAAAGCAGCCCATGCCATGGCTTGCCTGAAGGCCTGCGCCAAGCAACAAAGACAGTACAACCAAATAAATAAACTTTAAAAAAAGAATCTATAAACAAAAAAGATGTTATTTAAAAAAAAACACATATAATATTAAGTCTTACCCTTGATATCTGAGCCTTGTGTGTGCTTACTTGCTCAGTCATGTTTGACTCTTTGAGACCCCATAAACTATAATAGCCCACCAGGCTGCTCTGTCCATGGGATTCTCCAGGAAAAAAATACTGGAGTGCATTGCCTTTCCCTTCTCCAGGAGATCTTCCAGAGCCTCAAATGCCTAACCATGAGCTTCCACGCTCTCACCAGGGACAAATCCCAACCAATGACAATGGCTGCCCACAGGAGAGTACCTCTATCAGCAGTATCATTATACATATCAAGGAGACTCAGTCCACTGATAAATGGATAAAGAAAATGTGTTCTATCTATAAGAATGGATTATTATTTTGTCATAAAAAGCAAAGAAATATGATAGCATGCTACAACATGGATGACCTTGAAAACATTTTGCTAAGTAAAAGAAACTAGAAACAAAAGATACCTTCCATATATACTGATATATAGGCATACCTTGGAGATTTTGTGGGCTTGGTTCCAGGTCACCAATTAAGTAAATATTTCAATAGTGAGTCACATGAATTTTTTGCTTTCCCAGTGCACAGAAAAGCTATGTTACACTATCAGTTCAGTTCGGTTCAGTTCAGTCGCTCAGTTGTGTCAGACTCTTTGCAAATTGCAAAGAGTGAATCGCAGCATGCCTGCCTCCCTGCCCATCACCAACTCCCGGAGTTTACTCAGACTCATATCCATCGAGTTGGTGATGCCATCCAGCCATCTCATCCTCTGTCATCCCCTTCTCCTCCTGCCCCCAATCCCTCCCAGCATCAGGGTCCTTTCCAACGAGTCAACTCTTCACATGAGGTGGCCAAAGTATTGGAGTTTCAGCTTCAGCATCAGTCCTTCCAATGAACACCCAGGACTGACCACCTTTAGGATAGACTCGCTGGATCTCCTTGCAGTCCAAGGGACTCTCAAGAGTCTTCTCCAACACCACAGTTCAAAAGCATCAATTCTAAAAAAAAAAAAAAGAAAGAAAAAAGCATCAATTCTTCGGCGCTCAGCTTTCTTCACAGTCCAACTCTCACATCCATACATGACCACTGGAAAAACCATAGCCTTGACTAGACAGACCTTTGTTGGCAAAGTAATGTCTCTGCTTTTTAATATGCTATCTAGGTTGGTCATAACTTTCCTTCCAAGGAGTAAGTGTCTTTTAATTTCACGGCTGCAATCACCATCTGCAGTGATTTTGGAACCCAAAAAAATAAAGTCTGACACTGCTTCCACTGTTTCCCCATCTATTTCCCATGAAGTGATGGGACCAGATGGCATGATCTTAGTTTTCTGAATGTTGAGCTTTAAGGTAACTTTTTCACTCTCCTCTTTCATCAAGAGGCTCTTTAGTTCTTCTTCACTTTCTGCCATAAGGGTGGTGTCATCTGCATATCTGATATTATTGATATTTCTCCTGGCAATCTTGATTCTAGCTTGTGCTTCCTCCAGCCCAGTGTTTCTCATGATGTACTCTGCATATAAGTTAAATAAGCAGGGTGACAATATACAGCCTTAACATACTCCTTTTCCTACTTGTAACCAGTCTGTTGGTCCATGTCCAGTTCTAACTGTTGCTTCCTGACCTGCATATAGGTTTCTCAAGAGGTGGATCAGGTGGTCTGGTATTCCCATCTCTTTCAGAATTTTCCACAGTTTATTGTGATCCACACAGTCAAAGGCTTTGTCATAGTCAATAAAGCAGAAATAGATGTTTTTATGGAACTCTCTTTCTTTTTAGATGATCCAGCGGATGTTGGCAATTTGATCTCTGGTTCCTCTGCCTTTTCTAAAACCAGCTTGAACATCTGGAAGTTCACGGTTCATGTATTGCTGAAGCCTGGCTTGGAGAATCTTGAGCATTACTTTACTAGCATGTGAGATGAGTGCAATTGTCCGGTAGTTTGAGCATTCTTTGGGATGGGACTACACAGCAGTCTATTAAGCATGCAATAGCACTATGTCTAAAGCAACCATGTACACATCCCTTAATTTTAAAATGCTTTATTGCTAAAGAAATGCTGAGCATCAAATGATTCTTAATGAGTCATGGTAGTAAATATTAAAGATTACTTATCACAAATCACTATAGCAAATATAATAATGAAAACATGTGAACCATTGCAAGAATTACCAAAATGTGACACAGAGATTCAAAGTGAGAAAATGCTGTTGGAAGAATGGCACTGATACACTTGCTTTATATGAGGTTGCCACACACCTTCAATCAGTAAAAAGTGTAGTGTCTGTGAAGTGCAATAAAGCAAAATGCAATAAAACAAAGTATTACTGTAGATATAGACCTATATATATCATTTATATGAAAATCACACATGTTACATGATTCCATTGATGTGAAATGTCCCGAAGAGGCAGAGAGACCAGAAGCAGTTAAGTGGTTGCCAGGAATTATAGGTGGGGTATTGGGAAGTACCTGGGTTTATCCGTTTTTGTTCTTTTCTTGGAATGGGTGAGATGATAGAAATGTTCTGTAAGAAGATAGTGGTGATGGTTGCACAACATTGTGAATATATACTTAAAAAACAAAATTTGTTTTAAAATGGGACATTTTAAGTTTTATGATATTGTAAATCAAGTGTTCTTCAATTAATTTTTTTTTAATTTTTATAATGGAAAAGAATACATGCATAAATCTACCAGCAATTCACTGAATAATGTTTCTTATACATTATCTTTTACAATGAAAAAAGGCATTAAAGTGGTTGAATGCATTTTAATAATGTGGCTCTAAATTTATATATTTTATTGATCTGAAAGCTTTTATTTTGCCTTTATTTTTTTTAATGTGTTAATATATATATATATATTTTCCATTTATTTTTATTAGTTGGAGGCTAATTACTTAACAATATTGTAGTGGTTTTTGTCATATACTGACATGAATCAGCCATGGATTTACATGTGTTCCCCATCCCGATCCCCCCTCCCACCTCCCTCTCCGCCCGATCCCTCTGGGTCTTCCCAGTGCACCAGCCCTAAGCACTTGTCTCATGCATCCAACCTGGGCCATCTCATTAGAACTGATTCAAATGAATTCTTTTTAATGGCTGAGTAATATTCCATAGTGTATATGTTCCACAGCTTCCTTATCCATTCATCTGCTGATGGGCATCTAGGTTGCTTCCATGTCCTGGCTATTATAAACAGTGCTGCAATGAACATCGGGTGCACGTGTCTCTTTCAGATCTGGTTTCCTCGGTGTGTATGCCCAGTGTGGAGATTTCTTAAAAAACTGGAAATAGAACTGCCATATGACCCAGCAATCCCACTTCTGGGCATAAATTTATATATTTTAATGGATACTTTCATTAGGAATTACTATTAAAGAATTTAAATGAATAACTCCCATATAGATTATCTTTTAGAGGTAAAAATGTTTACTGAAAAGTCGAGCAGGTCTGATCTCACATATGTAGCAGCTTGAAACTTGCTTTCTAGTAGTCAGTCTACAATTCTGTCTGGACCAAGCTTTAAATGAAAACTGACCACTCAAATAAAGTCAGTTCTTGCTGGTTGGGAGATAAACAGAGAAGCATCAGACATGGAGCACAAATGAATATTCTAAAGCAATAAAGGCAAATTTGGCTGGTCTGCTATTGAACCACTTGGCTAGCATTTGTGATCAGAAGACTGACGTGTAATATTTGTTAGAATTCAAATTTCCAGATTCCTCTTCTAGAGGTTTTGACTCTTCTTTTAAAAAAATTTTTAACTTTTAATTTTTTTTAATTTTTATTTTTTCATTTATTTTTATTAGTTGAAGGCTAATTACAATATTGTAGTGGTTTTTGCCATACATTGACATGAAATCAGCCATGGATTTACATGTATTCCCCATTCCGATCCCCCCTCCAGCCTCCCTCCCCATCCGATCCCTCTGGGTCTTCCCAGTGCACCAGCCCTGAGCACTTGTCTCATGCATCCAACCTGGGCTGGTGATCTGTTTCACCCTTGATAGTATACTTGTTTCAATGCTGTTCTCTCAGAACATCCTACCCTCGCCTTCTCCCACAGAGTCCAAAAGTCTGTTCTGTACATATGTGTCTCTTTTTCTGTTTTGCATATAGGGTTATCGTTACTGTCTTTTTAAATTCCATATATATGTGTCAGTATACTGTATTGGTCTTTATCTTTCCGGCTTACTTCACTCTGTATAATGGGCTCCAGTTTCATCCATCTCATTAGAACTGATTCAAATGAATTCTTTTTAATGGCTGAGTAATATTCCATTGTGTATATGTACCACAGCTTCCTTATCCATTCGTCTGCTGATGGGTATCTAGGTTGCTTCCATTATTCCTGGCAATTATAAACAGTGCTGTGATGAACACTGGGGTGCACATGTCTCTTTCAGATCTAGTTTCCTCGGTGTGTATGCCCAGGAGTGGGATTGCTGGGTCATATGGCAGTTCTATTTCCAGTTTTTTAAGGAATCTCCACACTGTTCTCCATAGCGGCTATACTAGTTTGCATTCCCACCAACAGTGTAAGAGGGCTCCCTTTTCTCCACACCCTCTCCAGCATTTATTGCTTGTAGACTTTTGGATAGTAGCCATCCTGACTGGCGTGTAATGGTACCTTATTGTGGTTTTGATTTGCATTTCTCTGATAATGAGTGATGTTGAGCATCTTTTCATGTGGTTTTTGACTCTTTAGAATAAAGAGAAGTCCAACTGTCTGCACTTTTAATAAACTTCCAAGTAATGAATTATTCACCTTTGAGATTTTTTCTTTAATTATAGTTACCAAAAGTATTCAGGTGTTTTAACCCACTAATCAACCAAAAACAGAAAGGGTATTTTAATAAAGATAATATTACTTAACATTTTATTGACTGAAATATTCATGATTACAAACTGTATTAGGTTTTCTATTATCAAACACACAATTAAGGTAGGTTTTCAATTGTCAATGTTTAATTGAATAAAGAAAAAAAGGAATCTTTTTCATTGGTGGGTTCTTAGAGTTGGAAAAATTCTCCAACAATCTACATTCTTGTCTTGTGTACTACTGAAGGCTTAGTCTGGTCATCTACGAATTTAAAGCCCTGTTTTAGAAGACTAATTGGTTGTAGAATCCATAGCAAAATAGGATTGCAATAAAAGCCATAGGAATGTGTGCCTGAGGCAGAGTCAGCAATGACCCCAATGACTAAAATCAAATCTTCCCTTTTCTCTGTAAAGAAATAAAAAGAAAGAAAAATTATTTTTAAAAAGTATTTAAAATTGCCTGACTATTGCACTAAGTGCTTCTCCATGAGGAGGCTCTGACTGTGACAGAGCAAGGAGGGCTGTGCTCCATAAGCAGTGGGGCCCCTCCCACCCCCGCCACCCTGCACAGGTCCTCCTGACCCCCGGGGGCTACTTGACTTTTCCTATATGCTCCCTGGGAGCGTATGTCCTATATGACTCATGAGTCCTATATGACTCAGCCTGGGAACCCACCCAGACCTCAGGAAGAGGATTAGAGATTGTATTCCTGGTTCTCTAAAAGTAGAAGCCCATCTGGGGATTCAGTGAGAGGAAATACCAGAGAGAGAAACTGAGGCAGGAAGTTGGATGGCTGGCTGAACCATTAGACTGGGAACACCCCCAGAGGGTAGGAGGCAGGAAGGGAGGTTAGGTAGAAGTGTCCTATTCTGCCCTGCTCTCTGAGGAAGGTTTGGAGTCTTGTCATGGAGTTCAGGGTACAAAGTGAACCATCAGAGGAGTTCCTTTCTGACATAAATTGTAATGAATTTAAATTTCTAAAGGCAGTTGAGTTTCTTGCTCAGTTATGCTCCCTGTAGCTTGGAGCTACATCATAGAGGTTATTATTCAACCTCCAACCTCCGGAGTTAAGAATTACATTCATTATACTGGTCACCAGACTGCCAGTATTAAGTCAAGGAATTAAATCAAGTAAATATAATTGGTTTATACATGTAGGAAACATCCAGCAGGAATATACTTCAAGGTCAAATAAAAACTATTTTTATGAATGAGACTTCAGGCAAAGATACCAGTGCATTTCTGTGGCTTTTACATGAAAGAACAGTTATTTTCCATGTTTTACTGTGCCTTGGCTATCAGAAACATGGATGTTCCTATTATTTTCTGATTGTGTCTTCATTATTTTTGAAAAGGCAATATTGAGTTTTTTGTTCTTACATTTTTTCACTGCAGAAAACGCATTTATTGGAGTATGTTTTGCCATTTGTTGCACAGATTGGATCCATTTCTCTGGTACAAAAATGTAATTGACCAACATATATACCACACACTGGCTGTTAAACATAAACAGACAACATAATATTTTTCAGATAATGAATTTCTTGAATAAAATGTTCTTTGTTCTTAATACATCATGGTATGTATCAAAATGAAACATATTCTATATTGAAGTTTATATGTGAAGTTACTCACATATAAAAAATGCTGTACAGTAGAAACCAACACAACACTGGAATGCAACTATCCCAACTATAAAAAAGTTAATTTGTTATAATTCTCCTGTTTTTCTCAATAGTTTCATTATTAGATAATCTGATACTCTCAGATTACTACCATATATGTATTTTTTCATATATATGAATGTTTATAAGTGTGTATTTAACCATATACATATATATATATATAATTTGGTTAGTAATGGCAGTGTTGGTAATTTACATAAATAAATAGAAGTGTGTGTATACTGACATAACCTGCTTTTTTTTTTTTTAACATATAATACCTAAATTCTTATTGGAAGATAGGAATGCTTATTCACTTACTTACTGCTATATGAGCTGATTTTTAGGCATGTTTAAATATATTCATCTGTTTAGTTGTTCAGAATTGTAGTTGACTTTCTTTGCCTCTGTATAATATTTCACTCTGAGGTTTTATGAAAATTATTATTTTATATTCCTCCTATAAGTGGAATTTTTTTTTAGCTACTTTAATTTTAGCCTTTTTCTTTTCTAGGGTAAACAATTCTACTTTGAACACCACTTAACTGCTTTCAGATGATGGTATATAACAAAGTTTATGCCCGATAATAGAATTTTGAGTAAGGGATATTTTTACCTTGTCTGAAATGACAGATGGTTTGAATGGCTGGCAAGATTCTATTTCTTGAACTTAGCATAATAAGGACACTTTACCTTACTTTCTGAAGAATTATTATGTGGTGTTTTTTTTTTTTGTAAAATTAGCTTTTAAACTAAATAATGAAAAGTTTACCTTTTTCAATTCCCACATTAATCAATATAAACTTACAGCACCACGCATGTCATGTGTTTTTCTTGAAGATGCAAAAGAAGTTTCTGCAATCAACATACAAAAGGAAGATGAAAAGTAAGATGATGAAGAGGAAAAAACAGTCTTTGATAGGATATACCCACATCTATACAAATCACCTACACAAACACAGCAAGTAATGAGGTGAGGCTACTATGGCAGTATCAAAATAATAATTTCACAAAATAACTCTGAATCTGGAAACAGAATTCTAAATTCACCTCATTATCTGTGAAAAAATAACTTTAAGTATGGTTTAATAATCACCAAAACTTTCTGTGGAGATACCTTTTTTCCTCATTTTTATAAATAAGATATTCTAGTCAGAGAAAAAACACCTTGCTTAGTGCAACTTAATAGGCTTGTATGAAGTCACTTAATATGAATAAGTTAATTACTACTTAATTTCTTCAAACTCAGCTCGAGTATCATGAATCACTTTAATACCTCACAGCTACTCTACTCTGAAATTCATGGGCCACCTTGTGCTTTAAGAAAGATAAGTGGTCAGCAGAGGGATCAATTAGTTCTCTCCTACCACAAATTTTGACTTTAGTGCACTCAGAGCTGGCAAGTAATGAGTAGAATTGTTGAGGAATACCAGACCTAGAGGACAGTATTACTCCCCACACTCTGCATTGAGCAACCATGAAATCCAACCTCCAAAAATGGGGAAAATTAGATAAATATCTTTAGTCCTAAATGAACAAACATCTAAACTCTACTGTTCATTCTAACCACCCTTTCTAGCTCTACGTTTCTAAGGAGGGAAGTGAGAAACCAATCAACTGATGCAATTTGTGAAAAGATTTTTGTAACATGTGTCATTTCATTGTGCCAGTTTAAGAATTATACGCCCAGCACAGCAAGCTCCTCCGCTCCTTGATAATAGTAGTTGTTTCCTGCATTTTCTATGATGTGTGAACTGCTTCATCCAGGATTGAAAAATTTACTCACCACAATAAAGAGGAAATGCCAAGCCAATGATTAAAATAGCTTTGATCCATGACGAGAAGAAAGACATTTTATCAAGTCTGTAGAAGAAATGCACAGGAATGCTCATAACACACCGGCGCACGAACAAATTGCCCATTTCCAAGTGAAAGTTTCTTACTTTGAAAGGAACTGACCCACTCTCTTAGATTTGTAATTATGGTGGGAATCTTGCCCCAGTCCACAGGACATACAGGTGAACAGAAGGCCTCATAGAGGCTTGAGAGAAACACTAGGACAGGTCCTCTTTGCCTACTTTAAGAAGGAGAAGTTCACTCTCCCAACCCTTGGCTCAGCCCACAAGGAGCCTGGCTGCATTTAAAGAAATATGCACTTCGGAAGTTTATTTTTTCCTCAGAAAATAAACAGTTGTTTCAGAAAGGACTGACCTGGAGCAGTCTTCACTCCAGTGTGACAGACCAGGGCTGCCTCCAAAGCATCCCCGCCTGACCTACCTGACACAAAGAAGGTGGCAGAGAGTGAGGGTGGCAGCTCCAGGGACTGCGCCTGTAGATCTCTCCTCAGTCTCCCCCAGCTGAGGAGTCTCCTTTAATGGATGGTAGGTGAGGAGCCTGGTGCAGGGACACAGATGAACCCTAGCAGGTAAGACCCTGAGCTTTTCTGTGTTCTTCCTCGTAAAGATCTAACACAGATCATCTCTCAGCAGGGGTTTGGGGCAATTGTAATCTGATGAACATGTATGAGGAAGGGAGAAGGTGACAACCACGCTCTGAAACCCTAAGGTATAGAAGAGATGGGAGAGCTTTCCAAGCTCCTGAGTTGAAAACAAAGACTCATCAAACCACAAAGAGAAGAATGAGTTTTGGGAGCTATAATTAGATACATACCTACACCCTTAGTATTTTGAAGGACACTAAAAGCCCATTAGACTCAATTGGAGATTTGATTTTCATTATACTTTTTTTTTTTTAGTTAAATGGACATTTTCATAAAGCTGTAAGCACTAACACAGAGAGTTACTGTGTTCCTTTAATCAATTTTCCCCAATGAGAACATCTTGTAGGATTATAGTACAAATTCATGACCAGGAATGTTCAAAAAGCTCCCGGGTGACAGCCAGAGTAACCAGCTTTGGGAAGCTGAGCTGGAGGACAGCATGTGAATATCAAGGAGAGCAAGAAAGCTTGGGAATATAATTGAGATCACAAGGGACAACATGCTAAACTATATGATGGATCTAGTTTATGATCTTTAATCAAGTAGGAAACCAAACAGAGTTTGAAGTATTAGGAAGAGATGTAATGTAAACTATTTAATCTGCTTCACAGCCTGAAAGTCCAGAGTTCAAATGCCATCTACCACTAAGCAACCTTGAGATAATATTCAGACTTTCTAATCTACTATTTCCTAATTTTAAATGTGAGAATAATAATTTCTGTCTCAAAGATTTGTCATAAATATTAGGTATAAAATATTAAAACAGGATGCACTTAAAATTGTGTTAGGCTTACATTTGTCACCCTAATCTAACCTGACTTTTTTTCAGTGAAGAAAGCTAAGATTTAGAAAAGAACCTTTGAACACCGCTATTCAAAACCCACAAAATCTGCTAAATACAAACATTTTTCCTATATTATAGTGAAGTTATGACAATGCTTCCACTAGATTTTTTAAATATCACAGAGATACCATCAGAGATGTCTATGCAGATAATCCTGGCACATGACATTAAAGGAGAAATTAAACTGAAGTTTGGAGTTGCAGTGAATGTAAAGTCCTTGTACCGGCTTCTTTTCTCTATGTGCATTTGTTAGTGGAGATTAAGAGCTGGAGACACTGCCTATGAAACAGAACAGGTCACAAGTTTTCAAAAGTATCTGCTAAAGGAGTGTTAGATATGTGGGTTATTTGATGCCTATCTTTCCTGAAAATGCTTACATATATAAATATATTTATATGCATAAAGGTACAGGTATTTACTACATAACTATACTAAAATCACACATAAATATATGCATATGTGTGTATATGGATATATTCATAAATGTATATATAGTTATATATATCTATATAGTTACAAATATACTAACATATACATATAATAAAACATATGTGTAATAACATCATTAGAGACACACATAGACATCTATATACACATAGTATATAAATATACACATATACACACACATATATATAAACATAAATTATCTAAGTGAGCCCTAAATGTCATCACAAGTATCCTTTAAAAAGGGAGACTGAAGGAAATTTGATGCAGACTCACTAAAAAGGTCAAAATGAAGATGGAACTAAGAGAAATTTGAAGATGCTGGCCTTAAATATGATTGATGATAGATAAGAATAGAGACAGAAAAATAAAATCAAGATACTTCCTTGTAACTAGTTTTTTTTTAATTTTTTATAGTATATCTTCATATAACCATATATAAATACAAATTCCTTTTAACTTATTCTTGTTAAATACTTTTGCCAGCAATCTTGTAAGTTGTGCAGGTCACCACATGTTCATTCACCTAATTCTATATTTTAATAGTTGCATTGTTAGGTCAAATAATCTGTGCAGTTGAAATTTTAAAGATAAGACCAATTTACTCTTCAAAACTCTTACACCATCTTCCTATGGAAAAGACAGACTACAAGTATGCCTGTTTCTCTGTTCTTCATTAAATGAGTGCCATCTGAAGTATTTATGTTTTCACATACACATTTAAACATATATACAAGTATAAAATGTTCATATTTGGAAGATTTTGTTCAGGGACAAATTTCTCCATTTGGGAATAAATTAAATTTGTTTACTAATTAAGTTAATGAAGTAATAATTTCCATTTTTTTATTTTTAAGAATTTTCATCTACAAACATGGTTCAACTTCCTATTTATTTAAGTCCAGAGTATGTGAAGAAATTAATTATTCCTCTCTAATTAACACAATTCACATCTATGATCTGCAAAATTAGAAATTTCGAGATCTTTGGTGAAATCATGTTATATATAACATACAGAAATGTATCAGCTTATGTGAAATGGTGATGGGTGAACTTTGGATACCAGCCTGTTTTGTGTATTTAGAATTCACTCTAGCTGGAGAATGCTGAATATATATGCTTCTTCTCTAATATACCAAAGTTTATGGTGCTTAGGAGATCCTGTTAGATGTTCACTGAATACAAGATAGTGCAGTCTGTCTACATGGTCATAAGATTTCCCCATCCCCTCTGGCAGAAATATATATATGAATACATTCCAGGTTTATTGAATATGACAAAACAGATTACTTTGGAGATATGGAAGAATTTGGTTCTAGACTACTGCATGAAGTAAATATTGCAATGAAGAAAGTAACACAAATTTACTGGATTCCCAATGCATGTAAAAGTTATGTTTACAGAGCCTGGTGGGCAACAGTTAAACAGCTGAACACAACTGAAGGAACTTAGCACACACATATATATGTAACCTATAAAGTGTGCAGTAGCATTATGTCTTAGAAACAATGCACATACCTTAATTTAAAAATACTTTATTGCTAAAAATAATGCTAACTATCAACTGACAACACAAGGTTGCCACAAACCTTCAATTATCAAAAAAAAAACCCCACAGTATCTGCAAAGCACAATAAAGTAAAGCTTGGCAAAGCACTAATGAACATAGATGAAACAGTCCCTGGCAAAATATTAGTGTACATAATTCAGCATTATGTTAAAAGGATCATACAACATGATCCAGTGAGATTCATCCCAGGGATACAAAGATGATTCAGTTTCTACAAATCAATCAATGTGATACACTAGGGCTTCCCTGGTAGCTTAGTAAAGAATCCACCTACAATGCAGGAGACCCCAGTTTGATTCCTGGGTCGGGAAGATCCATTGGAGAAGGGATAGGCTACCCACTCCAGTATTCTGGCTTGGAGAATTCCATGAACTATATATTCAATTTCCACAAATCAGTCAATATGATACACTACAGTAAGAAATCAAAGAACAAAAGTAATAAATGATTTTCTCAATAGATGAAGAAAAAGCTTTTGACAACATTCAACATTTATGATTTAAAAAAAAAACTCAAAAAAAACCTCTCAAAAGTGACTACACAGGGAACACAATCAACATAATAAAATCAATCTATGACAAGTCCACAGTTAATATTATACTCAATGATCAAAAGTAGAAAGCATTTCCTCCAAGATGAGGGAAAAGTCAAAGATACCCACTCTTGTTGTAACAGAGCAGGATGAGCATAGCCCTTAGCAGACAGCCATTGGTGTGCCTCATTATTCTGTATGCTGTTACTAGGCAATGGATCTTGCTCAGCCATTGGTCAGTGCCTCAGTGAGTCCTACCCACAAGCAACCAACTGTCAATGAGTGACCATGGCTGTCCTGCTCAGCTATTGGTCGGTGCTGCAGTGGGCCCTACCCAGAAATAACTGCCAATAGGGGACCATTAGGGTAGTGATTCAGCCAGGGGTGAGTGGTGTGGTAGTCAGCAGGTGGAGGCAGACTCAGGCCTTCTCCTAGAGGCCCACTTACTCACCCAGCCTTGATCCAGTGGGTGAGCTGAAGGACCCAGGGAAAAGACCGGGGACTACATCCTGCAGGCTCCAGAGCCCTTACTAAGGCCCTCTACTAGCCTTGGCCCAGGCCTTGAGGCAGCAATGAGCCTCTCCCCCATCCCTATCTCTGCGACGTCACAGCAGTAGTCATCTGCCTGGGCTGCATCTGTAAGACCTGGTCCCCCCAATCTGGACAGCCTGAGGAGGCTGGGGGCCAGTTGGGTTGGGTCCCTGGCTCCCTCAGGGATGACAGCTGAGTGGGTGTAGGAACCTGGCCCTGAAGGAGCTGCCCACTGAGATCTGCCTCCTCTTAGCCAGGACTTGGACCTTTCAGGGTGAAAGTTGTGCCTTAGGACCTTGCCTTTTTTGTCAGGACAGAGAATAACATTCATTTGGTAGAGTTTTACAGGAATATTATTAACTGACTATGACCTGACCTCAAGAACAAAGGATCTGACACTAAGAAGTCTGCAACAACTAACCACACCCCTCCCTCACCTTTTGCCTTTAAAGGGGCTTGCTGAAAGCTTTCAATCATTTCAGGGTTCTTAGGGCATGAGCCACCCATCTCCTTGTATGAACTTGCATACAAGTTCATAAACCTTTCTCTGTTCCAAATCTAATGTTTTAGTATTGATTGACCTCATTGTGTGTTGGGCTCACAGGCTTGTAATTCAGTAACACTGCCACTTTTATTCCACATATTATTGGAAGTCTAGCCACAGCCATCAGAAAATAAATAATAGGAATCAAAATTGGAAAGGAAGAAGTAAAACTGCCACTAATTGTAGACGACAGGATATTATACATAGAATACTTTAAAGATGCCACCAAAACTACTAAAGCTCATCAATGAATTCAGCAAAGGGTGTAAGATACAAAATTAATATACAAAAATCAATGAATTTCTATATACTAGCAATGAATTGTCAGAAAAGGAAATTAAGAAATGAATATCATTTAGAAACTAAAAAAACTTTTCATCAAAAGCAATAAAATACCCAGGAAGAAAAAGACATGTACTGAGACAATATAAGGCACTAGATGAAAAAAGTTGAACGTTATAAAAACAGATGGAAAGATGTGCCATGACAGAAAGATTAACCATGTTCATGAACTGGAAGAATTAATGTTATATCAAAATACCAATGGCATTTTTTCACAGAACTATAATAATCCTAGAATTTGTATGGAAACACAAAAGACCCCAAATAGCAAAACAGTCTTGAGAAAAAGGAACAAAGCTTGGAGGTATCATACTCCATGATTTCAAACTATACTACAAAGCCATCATGATCAAAATAGTATGGTTCTGACACAAAAACTGACATGTAGATTAGTGGAGCATAATAAATGCCCAGAAATGAAACTATACTTACATGGGCAAATTAATCTACAATAAAAGAGGCAAGAATATACAATGCAGAAAAGATAGCTTTTTCAATAAATGTTAGGAAAGGTGGACACCTACACATAAGGAACTATTCTCATACACCAGGCACAAAACTACATTCAAAATACATTAAACATTTACATGTAAGACCTGAAATCATAAACGTTTTAGAAGAAAACTAAAAGTACACTCTATGACATCAGTGTTAGCATTTTTTTTTAAAATATGTCTCTCAGGCAAGGAAAACACAATAAAAAAAAATCCAAATGGGACTGTATCAAACTACAAAGCTTCTGGAGAGTGAAGGAAATTAACACATCTAAAGGATGTGTACTGAATGTGGGAGGACACCTGATAAGGGGTTAAGTCCAAAATATACAAAAAATCATAGAACTCAATATGAACAACAACAAAAAAAGGAGCAGAGGATCTGAAGAGACATGTTGCCAAAGAAGATATACAGATGGTTAATAGGAATGTGAAAACATGCTTCGCATTGCTATCCATCAGGTAAAAGCACATCAAAACCACAATAATATACTACTTCTCATTCGTCAGAATGGGTACTACCAAAAAGAAAACAAATAACAAATGTTAGAAAGGATGTGCACAAAGGAGGACCCTCATGCACTGTTGGTGAGAATGTAAATTGGTAAAGCCTCAATGGAAAACTGTATGGAGATTCCAAAAAATTAAAAATAGAACATCAGTTCAGTTCAGTTCAGTCGCTCAGTCGTATTCGACTCTTTGTGACCCCATGAACTGCAGCACACCAGGCCTCCCTGTCCATCACCAACTCTCAGAGTCCACCCAAACCTATGTCCATCGAGTTGGTGATGGCATCCAACCATCTCATCCTCTGTCGTCCCCTTCTCCTGCCCTCAATTTTTCCCAGCATCAGGGTCTTTGCAAATGAGTCAGCTCTTTGCATCAAGTGGGCAAGTATTGGGGTTTGAGCTTCAACATCAGTCCTTCCAATGAACACCCAGGACTGATCTCCTTTAGGAGACTGGTTGGATCTCCTTGCAGTGCAAGGGGCTCTCAAGAGTCTTCTCCAACACCACAGATCAAAAGAATCAATTCTTCATTGCTCAGCTTTCTTTATAGTCCAGCTCACATCCATACATGACCACTGGAAAAACCATAGCCTTGACTAGATGGACCTTTGTTGGCAAAGTAATGTCTCTGCTTTTTAATATGCTGTCTAGGTTGGTCATAACTTTCTTTCTAA